AATACTTGCCCTGAAGAACCCCCGAAGGGTCTGAAACTAGTCGGTGCCGTCACCGGAGGATGAAAACGTGAGTTGAGCCGTTCTTAATTTTCGTTTAAAGTAATAATCTCACGATATTTTAAACAATTTAATCACAAATAAGTCGCTGGTTCAAATCCGACTCGAAGGACCATCGAAAGTGCAGAACTGTATTTTGGCTATGTAAATTATTAAAATTGCACAGTTAAAATCACCTTTATTGGCTTTATTGTTCACAATCCCAACAGAACTTTCAATTTATGCACTTTTTTCAATTTAGTACACACAACACCAGAGGTAGCGAACATTTTTGCATCATTGTATTTTTCAAGAAATGTTTCATGCGGTTATAAGATGCCAACCAATGATTTCTACTGCGATTTGCATCAAATGTCAACTTCATGATTTTTTCCAAATGTTTTTATGATTTACGTGCCCAGATTACGTCGTGTGCCAGTAGTTCGCTACCCCTGATCTGTTATGTGCAAAGGTCACTGGTTTATGCCAGTAACAACACTGGGTTGTTATCGAAAGGGTTTTTGTGGTCCAAATCCCAACAGATGTCTTCTAAAAGGCAACATCTTTCGAATATTTTTTATTTTACTGGCATAATGTAACGCATTAGAGTCTATATCCAAATATGGTTAAAGGAAATATTACTAAACTAACAAAAATGTACTATTTTTTTTAAATAAAATATTAAATATCCGGTGATTTCAATATACATGTGGACATCCTAGTTTCACTGAAAGCCCGGGATGTACACAAGTTGGAGAAATTCCGACCAGTGAAATAAAAGAAAGTTCAATTTCACCGCATTTATTTCGTAAAAAAAATCATAATGGCATTTAAAAGGTTTTTAAATATCCGCAGGTATCCTATGGCCTTTAGAAGGTATGTCAGCGGGGCTGAGGGCAGTTGCCCTCACCCTGCCCTTTACTGTCCCTTCCAAGTCTCTGAGAGACATCATGGAGAAGGGTTCCTCCATCTCTGACGCTGCGGTCTACAACGGCTTCCTTATCACAATAGCGTGGATAGTCGTAACAATTAGCTTATGTTTCCTTCGACTTAAATATAAGAAAACGTAGTTTTTACGTGTAAAACCGGGTAGCTTGTATATAGCTTTTTATTTGGTAATTTTGTATTGAATGTACGATTAGTTATGGAATTTTTAATCTATGTTTTGTCGAGAGATGTCTTTGACATGTTTCAATTTAATAGGCAACATTTTTATGAGATTTTTCTTTGAAATATGTATTTTTTAATTATAGTTTATTTCAATCTAATATTTTAATAGTTCATAAAGAAGGCGATTCGACCTTTACTCTGTTTACCATTTTTGTTTCCATTTGGTCAAAATTGCTAACAAAGTGATATAATTTTTCTTGTAAATCTATTTTTTAAAATTTTTCCATTATTGTAGCAGTAATTTCACGTCTAACCACTCCCGTGATTTGGAGATCGACACTTTCTGTTTTAGATTGGAATAAACTAAATTTTTGCAATTGTAAATAAATAGGCTTTATGTTTGCTCATAATTATTAAAATTATTGTTATTACCTTGAGTTACCATATCTTTAATTTCCTTGAGCAATTTTGCAATATGTAACAAAATTGCCTCATAAACCTATTTTATATCTACTGGTTGTGACATCAGTAAAATAAATACTTTAGTAGCTAATAGCGTAACAAATATTTTAGTTTAACGCTGGATTTCCACGGGCGAAACATTAAAAAAACTATCGCCTCTTTGTTTCTGTCATGGAAACGATAAAACTTTAATATTGCAACATTATAAGAATAGTTATTTTATTATTGTCTTGTGTAACCTAAACATGTATGGACTAGGGCATCTGAGATGCATGTGATTTTTGGGTATTTATAAAATACTTTTGTATTAAATATTTTTATATAAACATGTGTTTTATTTCAAAATAATCTTACTTATCCCATAAGTGCCGAAGTTTAAGTGGATGGATGGCTATTTTATAGTTTGTAGCCTAAACTGCGAACGAATCTCGATGAAATTTATAGATGCGGTGTCTGGAAGAACCATAGGCTACTTCAGCTTTTTTTAATCTCACACAGAACGGAGTCGCGAGCAAAGCTAGTAAATAAATAAAACAAGCATTCAGATATAAAAATTTATATTATAGGAAATATTTTGGATTCAACAACTTTTCCTTGCGAAGCCGCGCGCCCGCCGCCATGGCACATACAAGTACAGATTACAAATATCCTTAAAATACAAATGGAAATTAAAAACTTAATCAACTGGAAGAATACATTTAAGTACAACTTTACATAAAAAAAAGAACAATTTTGCAGAAAAAAATACATAAAACCACGATTTTCTTTTACACATTATGCAAATTTAAACCTTATAAAAGAACGTTGAGGTTGTAATTGCTTTGACAATTGCTACAAAACTAACATTTTGTTCTGTATCACAGAGGACAAACGAGCTACTGCATTGTATACCTCAGCGCGGGTTTCCACTGTGAATCAACAATTCAATATATCTCTCTTGAAATTATAAATAACAAGAGAGATGGCAACATTTTTTTCACAAGACGTGTAGTGAAAACCCACAGTTAAAAATCTAAACAATTTACTTAAAACTCGTTTCGTGATTTAAAACAATTTAACAATGCATGCAATTCAACTAATTTTGGCGCATGGCGTTTATTAAACAATTTAAGAGTGACAAAAGGTCAAAATGATGACACCCTTAACGCCTACTGTATGACACCACGCGCCAAAACGTGTCAAAACAATAAAAAGGCGAGGGCGCGCCAGCGTTCATCTCCATACTTCGTTGTCATCTACCCACTCGAGGATAAGACCATATCACATTGAAGCAAACTCATTGATCCCTCGACGTAGGTAAAGAAAAAAAACTGCATTATTTATTTTTTTTTGTCTGCCGCGTTCAGTTTTCGCCTATCTACGACCTAAACTTAAATAAGAATCGCTCTCCAACCACACAACAGCCGTCTCACTCTAACACGCAGTTTCACAGAGCTCGCATCTCACTCACACCTGGGGTCATAGTCAATTCCGAACAGATAAAATCACTTCTCAATTTGCTTCCGAAGCAATCGTAACTTAGCTCGCGAAGGCATATTTTCGATAATTATCACACATTTATCACTAAGATTTTTCTATCGGCCAATAGCATTTAAACTAGCGGGGAATTGACTGGGCCCCTTACAAAGTATGACGGAAAAAAAATAATAAAAAAACTAAAACTCAACACATCCTATACAAAAAAAATCGTTAACATCAAAAATGTCAGCGATATTTTTAATACGACTCAACGCTATTGAAACTATCGAAAATTGATTTATCCTTTTACATAAAGTGTTGCAATTATTATGGACGTAGCCTTGCGTAGGCACAACTACATAATATTTATACAAAACTCAACAAAAGGCAACTACAAAACTTCCTCACAACATCCGCAAACATAATTTTACATAAGCTTTACATAATTAAAGTACAAATATATATGTGTTTATATATAACTGTACAGTAACAATGTCGATGGCTCCTACGTAAACTGTCCTATGTCTGAAACGCTAATTTTGTAACAAATTTTAGCTAAACTAGCGGCCGGCGCGTATTTTTATCACATCTTGGATATTTAAATATTATGCGTATGCTTGAGAAATCTTGTTCTTATACCGAAATGAGTTTAAGGAAATATATTTATGAACAAACATATAACTAAATTTATCTTCATAATATAAACCAGTGGTGATCAGAGTTAAGACGTTTTTAACTAAAAAGTGCGTAACTCTATTTTTTGGGGTAAAGAAAATATTACGACGCATCAAATTGCTTACTTTCGTTATTTTTGAATTCAAATAAATATATTCAAGATTTTAAAAACAAAACAAGGTTGAAATTGTAAAATTGTGACTTACAATAGTCTACGTAGGAACCATCGATGTGTTGTGACAAAATATTCTATATTTATATTTGTTGAGGCCTCCACTCTTTCACTATATTTACAATTTTTTATTATTTTTTTAAAAGCGTTTAGACAAAAAAAAACTTAATGACAAATGAACGAATTCCGTTGCAGTAAGTTTGTATGCCCGATGAATCCCATTTCACATTACAAGTAAAAAATCGATTTTATACGATTAATCGATGTTACAATATCGAGTATCGCAACATCGATACTGTCCCTAAAGGTGTGACGAACTTGTGAATAATGAATCGTTTCACATTTCATTGAGTTTCAATTATTTACAATTAATATCGCTTTTGTAACTTTAAATTTTACAACCGATAAATAAAACATCGATACCAATTGATTTGAGATAAATTTTATCATGGGTAAAATTGTTATTTTTGATCGATAATCGTCTAATCGATGTTGCCATGTTTTACCACTGTTTGTTGGAAGCAAATATTTGGGCAGTTGAATGACATTTTAGCGTACATTTCGACATAAAAGTATAGTGCGACAAGCTCATTTGACCCGGCAAGTCGTTGACGCGGCTACTTGTCAGCAAATATGTAAAAACTTTACAAGGACATATAAAAAACATTACAACTACAGTACAAGGACTTGACAGTTGGACAGGGCGCTAGTGAGCTGTCAGAAATGAGTTTTACATCCACCGGGTCAGACAACTATGTCGTTCTATACATTTAAACTACGTCCTTTATGTGGTTTTTAACCGCTGTGACTTATATTGATTCTTTTTATGTTTCAAGTTCGCTTTAGACGATAAGTTCTTAGTTATAATTCAAGAATTAAATTGTTTAGTTAAAACTGTGTTCAAGTGGAATTGTCAATCGAATTGTACAGTTAATATTTAGCCCAGTATAACCTATCAGACAAGAGTTTTTCTTAAAATAATTGTAAACTGATGATTTTTTAGTAATGGGTTCTACAAGTTTCAGAAAAGTCACTTTTTTGTTAAGGATTTCCTGATATTGGTACTAATTAGAGTTACCAATCTATACAAACATAAAGAGGGAAGAAATATTTTGTATGTATTGGATTTACTCAAAAAGAACTGGGCTGATTTCAAAAATTGTTTCACCATTAAAAAGCTATGTTATCACTGAGTAACATATTTTTATTATTTTTTTTAATTTCACTCAAACGAAATCCCAATAGCTAGGTAATAAAAAAATACAGTAATATCAAGTGGAAATATTTTGCCTAATATAAGAATTGGAATCCAATTACTGGATAATTCGACTATTTAGTTAAAATTTAAACCAGAACGTCTGCGAGATTTAAAAGGAATTTGAACATATTAAGTCACAGCAGTAAAAACTTACAAATAAGTTCCATTCACACAAACCAAAGCTTAGAGCAGATCACAATTTTATCGCAAATAAAATTGAAACTAGATTTAATTTGATTTGCACGTATTTTTAAATTTCTCTTCAATAAGTTAAGACGTGTAAAGTGAAAATAATCCTTATCTATACTAAAAAAAACAGGAAGAAGTATTTATGTATTGAAATAAATCAAAAACCGATTTTAACCCTTAAATATGCACTGTTGTACATTCAACATTTTACAAAAAATATAAATTACAACGCTAGAATTTTTTACATTATTTTTTCCTTTATTGACCGACTTCTCAAAAGGAGGTAGTCAATTCGTCTGTATGTTATTTTTTTATAATACCGATATTGGATTAAATGTGATTTTTTCGGAAGATTTGGAAAAATCACGCATTTACTGGTTAAAATTTATTTTACCGTTAGAAAGGTGCATCTGTGAGTAACAGAGGCTATTTTTATTTCACGCGGGCAAAGTCAGGAGCAACAGTTAGTATCAAATTAAAGATAATATTACTTTATATTGAATTGTTCTACTCTATGCTCCGTTTTGTTTGAATTCTAACTTCAGATATGAAATAGTAAAGCTTAAACCATAAATGTAAAAAAAAAAGAAAAAATAACTAACCACTAAGCTACTTGTAATTCGCTGCGTATTTTAAGTGGTTTTAAACTTGTAACTTAAATGTTAACCAATCTATTGACAAATGTAATTAAAAAAAAATACAAGACGTTCGATTATTTACTAGAAAAGGGACATATTATTATGTTTTTTTATTTATTTATGTTTTAATAACAAAATATCTACTAATGCATTTGTTCATAATGTAATAAAATGTATAAAAATCAATTTGCATGTTTTCCTTTTAAAATTTAATTTCTTTAACACGAAATATCTCGTAAAATTATTTTTTTACATACTGCCGGGTCTAAAAGACAACTAAAATGAGATCAACTGTTTAATTTAAAACCTTACAATATTAATTCACTCTGTAAAAACAATAGTATGCAAAAAGATTCTCTAAAAACACATTTTAGAACACTGGAAATTATGTTTGTGCGTACGATCAATGAACAGACATAAAAACTCGG